GGTTATGAAGAAAGCTGAGTGCCGAAGAATTGATGCTTTTGAACTGTGGTGTTGGAGAAGACTCCTGAGAGTCCCATGGACTGCAAGAAGATCCACCTAGTCAATCCTAAAGGAAATCAATTCTGAACATTCATTGGAAGGACTGATGCTGAAGCTGAAATCCAGTCCTCTGGCCACCTGATGCAAATAACTGACTCATTGGAAAAGACCCTGATGCTGGGAAAGACTGAAGGCAGGAGGAGAAGGGAATGACAGAGGATGAGATGGTTGGATGGCATCATCGACTTGATGGACATGAGTCTGACTGAGTAAGCTCTGGGAGTTGGGGATGGACAGGGAAGCCTGGCATCCTGCAGTCCATGGGGTTGCAAAATAGTTGGACATGACTGAGCAACTGAACTGAACATTAAAAATCACCTTTATGAGATTTCAATAAAGTCAGAATACTAAAAATAGAACAGTCAGGAGGCAGGAAAACAGAGTGATGATGATTTACAAAACTTGATTTCAAATACTGGTCCCCCTTCTCTGAGCACAGTTCCTTCAGCTAAAGTTGTTGTGAAGATTATCATGTTCACATTTAAAGCATATATTTGATAAATTTCATCTTCTCTTTCTTTGCATTACCAAGACACTAGATCTTTTTACAAAATCTTACTAAGAAAATCAAAGGAGACAGACAGCTAGAAAATATAAGGAATCCAAAATAGTTCTCCTGCTATTTTCCTTTATTAATTAGGAAGCATCAAACAGATTTTCAAGAGGATGATCAGTAATCCCACTGGAGTGTCCTAAAGAAATGAAAAGGTTGAACTCATTTCTTCTGCCCTGCAGAATAGGATAGCCTCAGAAATAAAGCTTCCTTTGACATACAGACCCAATTTCAAAATAATTTCCCTTCTCTCAGTGTTCTGAGAGCAGGCAAGAGGAAAGTCAATGAAACAGATTACTTTCTTGTGTGAGGTGTGTGGATATGGGAACACAGCAAACAATGTAGTACAAATGTCTTCAAAATTCAACATCCATTCTTGGAACAAATTCTCAACAAAACGTGGAGTAAAAGGGAACATCCTAAACATGATACAAAGGTTACATACCAAAAGCCTACAGTTAATATTATATTGAATAATGAAAAATGCATACTTTCCTCTACAATCAGTAACAAGACAAGGATGTCTACTCTCACCATTGTTATTCAATTGTGTACTAGAGGCCAATGCAACAGGGCAAGAAAAAGAAATAACATTGGAAACAAACAAATAAAACAGTCATTATTTGCATTTGACATGATTATTTAGATAATTCCAAAAAATATACAGAAAAGTACTCATAAGTAAGCTTAGTAAGGCCACTGGTCACTAGATACAATGTCAATATGCAAAAATGAATTGTATTTCTATATTTTAGAAATGAACAATTAGAAATTGAAATATAAAACAGTAAAATATGTAATATCAAGTCATTAAATACTTATAAATGAACCTTATAAAACATATGCAAGATTTATATGCCAGAAACTATAAAAAATTGATGAAATAAATCAAAGAAAATTTAAATAAATTGGAGCTATACCATGTTAATGGATTGGACTCAATATCATTAAGATGTCAACTCTCCCCCAATTTATCTACATAGTCAACACAATCCTAATAAAATCCCAGCATGAATATTTTTGGGAGAAACTGACAAGGTGATTTTTTAATTTATATGGAAAAGTAAGTAGAATAGCCAAATGTTAGAAAGAAGAACAACCTTGAAGGCCTCACACAACCTGATATCCAGATTTATTATAAAGACACAGTCTTGGAGCAAGGACAGATATATAATGGAATAGAATAGAAAGTCTAGAAATAAACCCACACACACTAGGTGAATTGGTTTTTGATTAAGGTACAAAGGCAATTTAATGGATACCTTCATTCAAAAGAAAGAACTTCAATCTTTATCTGGTATTAAATAACTCCCAATGGATCAGTGGTTGCCAGGGGTTGGAGGATGAAAAGAGAGGCTGACTACAAAGAGCTATGGGGGACTTTTGAGGGACGTGGTAATATTGCTCTGTCTTCATTGTAAAGGAGGTTGTCAAAACTTGCAGAAGTGAATTTACTGTTTGTAAATTATGTATTAAAATATATATCTGCACACATAACTATTTTTTTAAAAAGGAAAAAAGGCATATTTTAGCCTCTGGGGACTATTTACGAAGAAAGAAAAAGAATCTAATTGGTAATATGTAGGCAATAATATGCATTCAGTCACAATCTGTTTATGAACAGAATATACTTGAAAAAGGGAAAAAAAACTGAAGTGCACTGAAATGCAAAGCCTTAGGTATCTACATAAATAAAGGTTCCCACATCTTCATTTGAATTCAGCTTGGAAAGATGTTAGAAATCATAGGACCTGATTTTCCTTTCCTAAATGCGAACAAGGAAGCACTGGATGACTAATAAAATTTTCAATCCAGAAACATATTGAACATCTTCATCTGTATATCCAACAGACAGCACTAACTCCAACAATGAATTCTCTGTCTTACTCTCAGGTATGTTCTTTCTTTATTGCTTTCTATCTCAGTAAATGGTACCACCATCCATTTGGTTGTTCAAATAAGAAATCTGGGTACTATCTTTGACTCTTCCCTCTGTCTTACCTCCTTCACCAACCAATTTAATTATCACCAAGTCCTACTAATTCTACCTCTCAAACATAGGTTACCTGTTGTAAAGCAGAAAAGAATATAGAATTAAAAGTTGAGCATAACTGAAACTAGAAGGTGAAAGAGTGATATAAGATGAAGCTAGTGAGGTAGGCAGGGACCATATTAATTATTTTGATGTTTGTACTCATCTCAAACATATCTCACATGTGGCTCTTTTCTCCATCCTGACTTCCACCATTCTAGTAAAAGTTTCTTTCCACAAAATAATTTCAATATTCTTGGGTCTCCCTACATCCGCCTATTCTTGTTTTCCTTTCATTTTCTGTACTGCAGTTCTTTTAAAAGCACTATTCTTAAGAAAAAAGAATACTATTTTGATCATATCATTCCTTCTTTAAAGCCCTTCAATGTCTTGTTTCTTTAGCACAAACATAAAAATAATTAGTATGGTCCCTGTTTACTTACTAATTTCATACAATATCATTCTTTCACCCTCTGGATCCAATCATACTCAATGTCTAGTTCCTGCAGAGATGCTTTGTTTATTCTATATACTGTTCCCTCTGCCTGGAATATTTCTCTTCCTGCCTATTCTTGTGCTTAAACTCGATCTTCTTTTTTGCTTCAGGGGCAGCTAACTAACACTTTGAAGAAATCTTCCATGATATCTCATGTCTAGATCAGCTCTACTCATTATCTACTTTTATAGCACAGTTCATCTGTAAGTACTTGTGGTATAATAAAAAATATCATTCAGTCTTTGTCCCTGATTCCTATCACATAGTTCCTAAAATTCTCAGACTCTCCTGAGTGATAGAGTGCCTTCTGAATGCTAATGAGATGACTGGTACTTGGGGACCCCTACATAGTTTCAGGATGGCAGCTGGTCATCAGAAAGATCAAACCATGACTAGAGAGTTAAGAACTTTCAGTTCTTCCTTCCCCATCCTTCTCCCATCCCCATATAGGAGGAGGGGAGAGGGGCTAGATATTGTGTCTATGCACTAATGGCCAGTGATTTAATCAATCATGGTTAGGTAATGAAACTTCCAAAAAAACCCCTAAATGTTGAGCTTCAAGGAGTTTCCAGGTTGGTGATCACACTGATAACTGGGAAGGTGGTATGCCAAGATACGGCATGGACGCTCCGGGTACCTTTCCCCCCCTCCCCCCTTATCTTGCCCTATGCACCTCTTTCATATGGTTATTCCTGACTATCCTTTATAATAAACAGGTAAACATAAAGCATGTTCCCAAGTTCTGTGAGTTGTCCTACTGAATTATTAAACCTGGGGAAGTGAGTCATAGGGACCCCTGAATTTGTCAAGTCAGATAGAACAGTATGTAATCTGGTACCCCATTTGTAACTGGTGTCTGACACTGGTGTCAGACAGTATAAAGTCTGACACTAATTCCTGGTGGTCAGTGTGAGAACTGAATGGCATTACAGGGCATACAGTTGGAACCCAGAGAACTGACCGTAGAGATGTCAGAACTGATGACGGAAAAAACACCACATACTTGGTGTCAGAAAGAACTGGAGAACACTTACTGGAAATCTGTTTATAATTTCATTGTCATACAAATTCCATAAGACAAATGTCTTGTTCCAGCATTTAACATAGTGCCTGGCACATGGTTCTGTATTTACTGGATGAATATGGATACTAGTGGCTACCACTGGAGTGTAGAAACTCTGAACTATTATTTGGGAGAAGCTAGGTCAGAGTTTTTTCCCTGGGTTATCTTCTGACTTAATATTGAAAGCTCAATTGATTTAGCATAAGTTAGATGATTTAAACATAATTCTAAATCATCTTTGATTCCTCCTCATTTCTTCAATCTGAAATGTTGGATCAGCCCAGAAGTCAATCCTTCTGTCTTCGATAATCTTCATAATCCTTCTTTTCTCTACACTCCATCTCCAATAAATGCCCCCTTCTAACCTTCCACATGTAAATAAATTCCAACTACAGACTTCCAGTTTCTCAAGCCAAAAACAGAGAGAAAAAAGCAATGGGTCCAACATTTCACTAAGTGATGTTAACGTCAACTATAGGATAGGGCAGCATAAAGGAAGGTGCAGGAAACAGAAAACTAAGCAAATTTGCTGAGGCCCGAAAAGACCTGAAAAAAAAAATGAGGCCAGGTCTAAAAGATACTGTTGAGAAAAGACTATCTGCATGAGTGAGACTGATAGTCACTTAGTAGTGTCCTATTCTTGGCAACCCCATAGACTGTATCCTGCCAGGTTCCTCTGTCCATGGAATTCTCCAGGCAAGAATACTGGAGTGGGTTGCCATTTCCTACTCCACCTTGACATGAAAACAAGCTTTACCTGTGATGGGGTTATCCTTCCCTTTTTAACTTCAGATGAATTTTCACTCAACTTTCCTGCTTTGTTACTTGAGCTGCATTTGTAGCATGTCCATCTTGTTTGCCCTTCAATTTCTATGGTGCACTCTTTGCTTTGCAGACAGAATGAATGATATAAATGGCCACAGCTGCAAAATGAAGGTAACCAATTGACAATTTTCATTATCATAAAACCATAAACCTAAGTTGTATTAGACAGTATTTAAAAGTGATAATTATTTCCAGTAAGCTGAAATGCACTGGTGGGTATATAGGTTAAGAAATAAGAAAAGAGATTTACTTGTTGCTTTCCTCAGACTCATGTATTTGTACACTTCAGTTGTGAGTACAACAGCACCACAGTTCTCTGACTACAAACCACCCAGGGGTGAGTTGAACTTCTGCTCACTTCTCAAAACTATGAAACATTTTTAGACAGTTTGAACAACGTCAACTGGGGAAAATAATAATTATATAAGTCATTTGATAATAACATGAGTGGTATTTCTCATCAAATTCAAGAGTCATGATTTGATTTATAAGCATTCACAGAAATGTTAGTACTATACAGTAAATTTAACATCATTACTGTGAAGAAATTCCCTGTTAATTACATTAGGCTACCAAATAAACCTTCCAGAAGTAAGTGTTGAGCATAACTCTAAGTCATCTTCACTGATTCCTCCTCATTTCTCCAACCTGAAACGCTGGACCACCTCAGAAGTCAGTCCTTTTCTCTCTTCGATAGTCTTTAAAATCTTCCTTTTCTCTATCCTCCCCCATATATATAACATGCCCCAAACCAAATTCTTGATTTCCACCAAACCCCACCCTCAATGCACACTCTCATCCAACCTTCCACATCTAAATAAATAGTAACTAGAGCCTTCCAGTTTCTCAGGCCAAAAACTATTCTTTCTTTCATACCTCATATACAATCTATAAACAGATCTTGTCAGCTATACCTTCAGAATATATACAGAACCCCACCACCGCTTACTTCATTACAATCATCTTGGGCCATCTCTCACTTGGATTAGCCTAAATGGTCATTCCACTTTCACCCTTGATCTTCTGCTGTCCATTCTTACCACAGCAGTCAAAGTGATCCTTAATACATAGATTATATCGTGTCAACTCTATCCTCAAAACCATCCAATGGCTTTTCATCTCAGAGTAAGAGTTTAACTCTTCATAATGATTTAGTTCCTACATGATTTGGCTGCTGAAGTCATCTCTTATCATTTTCTCTTCACTCTGCTCAGGCAATGCTAGCCTGCTCACTCACTACCAGAGTGAGTATGCCAAGCACCTGCCTCATGGTTTCTGCACTTGCTGGAGCACTCTACCCCGATATTGCATGGAAACTTCCCTTAAATCTCTGCTGAAATGTCACTTAAGTTTCCTTAACAACTCTTCACAAATTACTAGTTCCCACGGTTCTCTCTCCTCTATACCATATTTACTCATGGTAATTATTGTATTTTTATTAATTAATTCATTTTTAACTGCCTGTCCATAATTATCTTAACAGTGGTGTTCTCCCTGACCACTCTTCATAAAATATCTTCCCCCACAGACACGCTACATCTCACTTAACATGCTTTATTTTTTTTCCCCTGTTAGTTACTATCTGGCATTTCACTTGTCTATCTCTTTCACTAGAGTGTAAACTCTGAGAGCAAAACCTTTGTTTATGTGGTACCCTATCCCTTCTAACAGTGCCTGACATATAGTGTGCTTGATAAATAGTTGTTGAATGAATGGGCTCTTTATGTGATAAGAAATACTTTCCCTTCTAATCACCAAATCTACCAATCTTTATCTGTAAAAACAGAAGCTAACACTTATACAGTGCTTACTGTATGTCAGTGTGGTTTTAAGTGTCTTATGTAAATTATCTCATTTCATCTTCACAAAAACTCTAGCAAGTAGGTGCCATTATTATCCCTCTTTACAAATAAAGAAACTAAGATGTAAAGAGATAAAATGATTTGTCAAAGTCTAATAGCTAGGAGAAGGAAACGGCAACCCACTCAGTACTATTGCCTGGAAAATTCCCTGGATGGAGGAGCCTGGTAGGCTACAGTCCATGGGGTCGCAAAGAGTCAGACACGGAGCAACTTCACTGGAATAGCTAGGAAGTGGCAGAATAAAGGTTTGAACTCAAGGTTTAAAGCCTGGCTCTAGAGTCCATCTTATGTTGCCTCTATCTGTGTATTCTGGATGAACTGTCTCCTCCTGAGATCAAACCTTCTACTTTTGCACTAGACTTCTTCTCTCTTTGCACTGTGGCTTTAAATATCATTTACATGCTGATGATTTCTAAATTTATATTTCCAGGACATATCTCTGACTAGAATAACTGTCTACCTGACATTCCTACTTAAATGTTTAAAAGGCATCTTAAACTTAACATCTTCAAGACAAAACTCTTGATTTCCCCAGATCCTCATGCCTGTTCCTTATTTTAGAGGATGGTACCACATTCATTCAGTAGCTCGGGCTGAAGATGTTTTTCCCTGTCACTTCACATCTGATACATCAGCAAGTTAGCTCTTGTCTTAAAATATATTCCTAACCTTCACTCCTACCACTCTCATTCTGCGCAAATGTCACTTTCTTAGACATGTTTTTCCTCATTATGGTATCTTAAAATAGCATTCTCACCCTGAACACTTCTTTCCATCCCCTTACCCTGTGTGTTATTTCTCTCCATAGCTCTTATTACCTGTATTTATGACCTGACCACGCTAATACTCTTTCCCCCTGACCCCTATGCAGAATATAAGAGCTATGAGAACAGGAACTCTGCCTTGTTTTGTTCACTGCCAGAATGGCTGACTGGGGCTGTGTGTCTGCGTGTGCTCCTGCCTGGCAATACCATACATATGCACACACATATGTACTACGTTTCCTTCCCTCTCTTACCTAAAAACAATAATTTCATCAGCCATTTCTTGGCGTCTCTTGTACTGCTGCAAACAAATAGAGCAGTAATCCTGCTTGGGATTCAGTCCTCTGGTGACTGAAGCTCTCAGGTTACACAATGACCAATGGAGATCTTGGTTTAGAAGGCTAGTCGTCGTTTCCAGCAGGGTCTATGAATGACCAAAATAAAAAGAAATCAACAAAAAGTTGTTTATAAAGTGAAAGAGACAGAGGGGATGAGTGGAGAACTCCACTTGTTTCATTTTCAACCACAGCTGAATTGGAATATACTACAAAGGCATAAAATCGATCAAATAAACATCAAAGCACCTCAGACTTAAGAGGTTAACTTCAATGTACAAGTACTGATAAGTACTACATAAAGAGTCTCAAAATAATTATTAAAAGGCAGTCACTAGTTACTATGGAGAAATGAGTGCTCTGCCATTCTTGTGGCTTAATTTGGTACTGATGGTGTTCAGATGACTGGATTAACCCCAGTCTATAATAAGCTCTCTTTGAATTTCTCAAAGTTCTAACAAATTGTTTAAAAATACTGATTTTTTAAATAGAAACTGCATCCATGGCAATATTCCACATTAACCTTTCACTGGAAAAGCTAATGGTCATTACTCATTTTTCATCTCCCTTGGACAAGAGATCACATTTTCCAATCAGCACTTAAAAGCCATTTGAATCTATTCAAGACTGTGACATCTGTCATTAAGTCACATAAAGATATTTCACAGCTATCACATTATATCATTTAAGGTTCCCTGTATAAAGTATTGTTTCTTACTACATCTAATTCTCAACATTCAGATATATTATTTTGATGTGCAGTTGGGTTCTTTTCTGTCAGTCCCAAAAGGGAGGATATACTGTTGATCCTCCTTGCTACACAGTCTTGTCCTTAAACTTTATCTATAATGCAGAACTTTTTGTTCTAATGGTCTATTTTAATTCTTTCCAATCAACTCCATCTTTTCTTCCTCTTACAAAGTTTGTAAAAACTTTCAGTTTTGCACTCAGCTTCCTTTTGTCATCACGGACTCTGCCTGAAGGGGGATCAGCTGCCTTGTGCTATGCTTACTTAACAAAACTGCAGTTCTTACAACACCCTAAGAAAAGCTCTGTCACTCAATTTCTTTCTTTTTCTTGTATTAAAAAAGCAGACATTGTATCTAACATGTCTAAATGGCACTTTTCCTTGGTGGCTTCATGAGTCACTTTGAAGTACATGAAGAAAAATTTGTACACCAAGCTGGCTCTTACTGAGAATTAATGCCATAGGCAGTTTTGGGTTAAGGAAAGACTAATGACCATTTCTGGTTAGTGGTGATAAACTGTTTCAGAATGTTTAAAAGAACATTAATTTTATTCTGCAATTTTTCTATACTCATCCTGACCCTTCCTTTTTTGAGTTATACCTTTATATTCCATTATTTTCCAAGAAAGTTTCTTATATTTTTCATTTGGAAACCAAGATATATGTCCCACTGCCCATGAATCAAAAGAATAAATTCAAAAGCTGCAATTACACATTCCAGAATATATGTGTATATGTATACAAAATATAAATTAATTAAGATCAAGAGAAATTTTAAAATTGGAAAATCATACACTTCAATCTTTCAAACTTCCACTAAACAGATGGTAATTTCTAAAGAAAAAGTATAGGCGCAAAGAGAAAAGAATAGCATCTTTCTACCTTAGAATGGGCTTAGAAATAGAAAGTAGCTTACCTGTTCATAGTTAAAGGTATCCAACATTCCCAGAATAAGGCCCTGGATTTCTCCAAGTTTTCCTTTTCCATAAACTGGGTCCTAATTAGAAAAAAGTTGCTGAAGATTATAATTCTATTCCTGTTATTTTAAATGTATTTTAAAATATAAGTTATCTGAAGAAGCCAAATACTCTTAAGTATTTGTCAACAGTCACAAAATACTTATTCTTCCATGAACCTTTCTACTGGAAATGTACACTGGTCTCAGGTCATCAAAGTATTTTGGAAAAGAAAATAAAATTTAAATGATCCAAGCCTCTTGCTTAACAACCATAAATTTCACTCTGGTTTTGTTTCAGTAGCAAGCTTCCTTTTCTTCTTATTAAACATCACCTATCCTTTTTTTGGGCTTCCCTGGTAGCTCAGATGGTAAAGAATCTGTCTGCAATGCCAGAGACCCAGGTTCGATCTCTGGTCAGGAAGATCCCCTGGAGAAGGAAATGGCAACCCACTCCAGTATTCTTGTCAGGAAAATTCCATGAACAGAGGAGCCTGGAGGGCTAACGTCCATGAAGTCACAAAGAGTCGGACATGACTGAGTGACTAATACACACACATCCCTTTTTGAGCTCTTATTTATCTGCTACATTAAAACCAAAGTACTCCAGAAAACTCAGAATCTGTTCAACTCCTCCTGTGACCCACATCAGGCCATCGTCTGGTCCAAACCAAGTCATGCCAGTTTAGGAGATCAGTTTTTGAATCTAAGCAACTTGCAGTTTTTCAAAGTTTTTCTTAATCAAATCACTACTGATAAACAACAGATACCTAGACAATGTTCCTTCCACTGCTTTTCATATGAGGTATGCCAAATAACTTGTTTATCGTAGACAATTTGAAAAACACTGTTGTGTACAAAAATAAAAGTGAACTGAAATCTAACCACCCCAATAGAAACACTTTTGATATTTTGAGGTATATTCTTCCAGTCTTATTTCTGGGGAAGGAGAAAGAGGGATGTATTTTTGGGGGCATTTCACATAATACGTATGTTGTGAGCAGTTTCCCATATCATCAAATAATAGGAACAGTTACAGGGTATGAAACATGTGAAGATGGTATGTGTTATTCAACCATTCTCTGTTGTTGGGGATTTAGGTTTCTCTCTCCATAGTCCACCTTGAGGTCACATCCCTATTATCAAATGCTGGTGGCTGCAAATTTTGGTCTCAGTCTCTGAGTCTTTCTTAGGAGGAGATTTCAAGAAAGGAAAATGACATACAAACTAATAAACTGATTAATAAATTAATATTTGCTAGATAAGAGTAACAAATATGAATAAATGATAAACTAATGTTTTCTGGGAGGCATGGGGAACACTTCTGGTTACTTATTAAGGAGTAGGGGTTATTAAAATCTTGGTACAGTGAGTTCAGATGTTAAGAGAGGAAAAAAAAACCAAAACACAACTGTGGACCAGGAAAACTTAGAAGAAAGATACAGAAATGTGAGAAGAAACTGTGCTTTCAGGCACTTGTACAACATAATCTTAGGATTTGTTTTTTTCCTCTTCTGTGCTCTGTTCCTGAAGACAGGATAGATGCAGTTTCTAACTCAGATCAGTGTTCAGTACTTTCAGCTGGTCAAGAGCAGCACCAGATTGTCTGCCATACGTTCTTGGTCCTGATGCTGAAGTACTGCTAAAGAAACCGAAGGGTAACTATACATTTGTATACTAATTAACAAGTTTACTTTGGGCTTGAACAGATCACTTAGACTTAATGGGGAAATCTGTCTCACTAGGTTAAAGATACCTGTCCAACATGTGCAGAGCATCTGCAAAAGACAAAACTACAGACATCTCAGACAAGCTCTTTCCTAGAACAACAACTCAGGCCATGTACGCATGAGACAATCTTTTAATTTTCTTTGCATAAAAATGGATCCATGTTAACACTTCTGAACTTGCATCCGATTACACTTATGGTCAAGCTCTCAGTGAATACATTTACTTCTTTAAGTATCAATAATTAAATAATACTATAATACTTTATTACAAGAACATTGTAATAGCTACTCTAACATGTCCACACATACACAATGTAAGTATGTACTGTGTATGTGTGGACAGAAAAGCACACATTCCAGCACAGAAAAGCTCTGTCATTTACCTATGACAAGGCTGGTTTGGAGAATAAAGGTCTTGAAAAGGTTAAATGCTGGAAAAAGAAGAAACCTTTATAGGTCATGTCTATATTTATATCAGTACATTTCACTCTAATATGCATAATTTAAAAGCAAAACCATGAAAATAACCTCATGCTGGGACAACATATAAATTATAGAATGCAAAAGAGAGCTCAAGGCTTCTGGCACAGCATGCACAAAATCTACTAACTTTTCAAATTATTTTCCAAATATGTCAGCTAGATTCTTCAGCAATAAATAACTGCTGAAGTTTCTCTTTAACTTATCCATAATCTACAAAAGAAGAGCACATTTAGGTCCTTCACACAAACTTGTTTTTTAAAAAGCATGTTATAAAAAGATGTGATGACCACTTTTTCCCCAGCATTTTCTTTCTTTTAAATTGAAGTAATAGTTGGTTTACAAATTTGGGTTAGTTTCAGGTATACAGCATAGTGATTCAGTTATTTTTTCTGATTATATTCTATTATAGGTTATATGTTATTGAATATAATTTCCCATGCCATACAGTAAATGCATGTTGTTTATCCATTTTATACACAGGAGTTTGCATCTGTTAAACTCATATTCCTAATTTGTTCCTCTCCCCTCTCCTCCTTTTGGTAACCATAAACTTGTTTTTTTATATCTGTGAGTCTGTTTCTGATTTGTATGTGGATTCATTTGTATTATTTTTAGAATCCCACATATAAGTGATCGAGAAGGAAATGGCAATCACTCCAGTATTCTTGCCTGGAAAATACCATGGACGGGGAGCCTGGTGGGCTACAGTGCATGGGGTCTCAAAGAGTTGGACACAATTGAGCAACTAACACTTTCACCTTTCATACAGGGAGGCCTGGTGTGCTGCAGTCCATTGGGTTGCAAAGAGTTGGACATGACTTAGTGACTGAACAATAACAACAATACAGTATTTATTTCTGACTCACTTCACTAAGTGTAATATTCTCTAGGTCCATCTATGTTCTTGCAAATAGCAATACCTCTATTGCTTTCTGATACTTATTATACCATACATATGGGAAGCTGCTGTAGAGCGCCGGGAGCTCAGTTTGGTATTCTGTGATGATCTAGAGGGGTGGGATGGGGTGAACAGGGGTTGGAGGGAGGCTAAAGAGTGAGGGGGGATATATGTAAACATACAGCTGATTCACATTGTTGTACAGCAGAAACTAATACAACATTGTAAGCAATTATGCTCCAATAAAAATAAATTTAAAAAAATAAAATTTTTACTAATCAAGCATTACTTTAAAATATGAATAATGCCAAGAGAATATAAGTCATTTGTTTGTATTAATTCCCTTAGTAAAACAGTCATAAGCAGCTTTTCAGAAGCCAAAATTTACTTTTGTCATAGAGTGAAGATAAGAACAGGGAGTTAAGGCAGAATGTATATAAACATAAAAATGGTCCCTTAAAAATACTAACTTATCAAAACTGAAAGGGGAAAAAAAATACTGACTTATCACCTAATGTTCATCAACGAAACCTGCACAATTAAGGCCCCCAGGAACATTTTGAAGGAATATTTAGGTCAGGAAGATCTCTGAGAACCTCTCATCATGTCAAGATCTCTTCTGTTCTAAGGGGCAATAAAAACAGGTAAACCCTCTGATACCTGTATGTTTCCTAGAACTCCATTGTGGCCTTAAGCCTTTTTTTTTTTTTACTAATTCCATTCATGCTGAACTTCATCTAATTTCAAAGAATTTAACTACCACTTCTATGCTGATGACTTCCAAATCTTCCTCTCCACTTCTTACCTCTTCCTGTGAAGTCTGGTCTTGTTTTCCCCACTGCTCATTGTTAGCCAAACAAAACTGAAATCAAGGGCTTACCTGGGTTCTTCTTGTATTCTACATCTAATCAGTCAAAAGGTCAATTAAATTCTGTTAGCTAAGCAAGTTCTGAATCCATCTTCTCCTATCCATTCTATGTAACTCAATTAACAAACTCTCAGTACCTATTATGAATACATTCTGGGTATTTCTATGCCTTCGGACTCAGTCTTGATCCCTTCCAATTTATCCTATATAATACAGACTGATATTTCTAAAAAGAAACCTCATTCCATCAGTCCTCTGGTTAAAATCTTTTAATGAGTATTTAGTGAATTTAAAACAAAAACCAAAGTCCCTTCCACAGTTTACAAAGCAATTAAGGACAGGGTCCCTGCCTCTCAAACTTCAGCTCTGTGACGCGATTTTAATCTTGTCCTATGTTCCAAGCATACTTAAACATCTACAACTCCTCAAACAAACGTACCATGTCTCACCTCAGATTCTTTTATATATAGTTCACTCTGCTTAGAATAGTCTTTTTTTTTTTTAAACCACTGATTCCTTTAGGCTTTTTAAGATTCAGTTCAGATATCTACTCCTCCAGGAAATCTTTCCACAGTCTGTCTCACATATATACTTTCACTGGTACTCCTCTGGCCACAGAGGAGAAACCCAGAGAACCTAGCTCATTCTATCTTACTCAAAAAATACAATAATTGTAAAGGTGCTGGAGTGTTTAAGGATCCAAACAAAGGAATACAGTTAAGGCTTAAGAACCACAATGAGGGATGCAGACACCTTCAGGATTTTCTCTCCACACTCCTCTCCCAAAGTCTTGAATCCTCTCCTTGTATGTTCTCTCTTCTCCATGCATCTTGTCTATTCTCTTCTTTGTGTGCCTGCTTCATTGTTCTTCTCTCTGAAGATTAACTTTATACTCTTTCAGTCCATATGACAGAAAGGCAGTCACTGTCAGCTCCTGAACTTTTTTAACTTATATAATCCAGAGAACTCTGCAGAGCAACTCTTCACCTTTTCAATAAAGTTCCAAAATTTCCTGAAATTGGCCCATCTTGGCCAGCTGCCCATTCTGAGTCAATCAGGTAGAGTCAAGAGGCAGAGTCATGGTTTCACATGGCTGTCGCAGCTCTTACCACATGGACTGAGTGTACACAGACACAGAAGGAGCAGTTACCCTGCCTGGGGTTCAGAGCGTGTGATCTTTAAGGTGTCCAATGTGGCAACCTGCTCTTTAAGCCCTATCAATTGCTATATCAGATATTTTCTTGTCTCCCCACAGGTCTTTTAGGGCAAGAACTGTGCCTTTTTTCCATCTACACAGATCATTAACCAAACAGGGTAACATGTAATATATAAACCAATTAATAACTAACTCCTCAAAAAACCAGTGAAAGTCGATCAGTTGTGTCTGACTCTTTGAGATTCCACGGCCTGTATAGTCCATGGAATTCTCCAGGTCAGAATACTGGAGTGGGTAGCCATTCCCTTCTCCAGGAGATCTTCCCAAACCAGGGAATCTTCCCAACCCATGGATTGAACCCAGATCAAAACCACTGCAGGCAGATTCTTTACCATCTGAACCACCAAGGAAGCCACGAGATTTATAAGATTAGAGTGCCACAAAACACTAGGGACTGAAGCAAACGAAGGAACTTACATGATACAGTGGGAGACACTGTAAATTAAGAGATCAGAGACTTTGGTGGTACTCTGGATATTGCCTCTAATGGTGGATCAGGTACTTAACTTTCTATACTTTAGTTTCCTCCTTCATCAACAGAAATTTTTATAGTAGCCCCATCTACTTCAAAAGACTCTTGTGAGCTTCAAAGACAGTATCTGTGAAAGCAACTTGAAAAAATAGAAATCTCTGTACAAACATAAGGTAGAGTTTACATGCAAATAGAAATTTAACAACCAGCATACTCTCCTGATTAGTGTGAGTTAACCACTGATGGTGGAAATGATAAGAACACAACTACAATGAATACCAGTATAACACAAAAATAAAGATTTTCAAATACCAAAAGCCTTCAGGGATATGAGTCTAGAAATACACTATTTTTTAAAAAATTATATGCATTTGTCAAAAGAAAAAATCAATTTTTATTTATTATAATTTACATATTAAAGTGTGATGAAAGCTCAGTATAAAGCTAAATGTGTACAGTGATAGAGAGGACACTTTGGCTTTAGGATTTCATTTTTTTCTAATTTACTTGGTAAATTAAAGTACCCCTGCATTATAGAGATGGTTCATATATGACTAAAACCTTATGACAAATGTATTTTAGAATGGATATAAGAAAAGCAGTCTGTACCAAATCATTATTCAATTCATGATAAAGATCAAATGAAGTGATACATGTGAAGATACATTCTAAAGGATAACATACAATGTGGTGAGAGACTGTTGGATACAGTAGTCTTTATCAGCAAAGGCCCAGCTGCTTCATACCAGATGGGAAAGGAAAGCTTGTAGAGTCTTAAAAGGGAGCTGAAAGCAACATTCTAGGTTGGATAAAAATAATTTGAAAATTATGAAGATCAACAGCATCATATTACTGTGTTTTGCTTTGTTTTGGTGTGTCTGTATCCTGCTTCCCTGGTGGCTCAGGTGATAAGGAATTTGCCTGCATTGTGGTAGACCGGGGTTTGATCCCTGGGGTGGGAAAATTCCCTGGGGAAGGGAATGGCTACCCACTCCAGTATTCTTGCCTGGAGAATTCCATGGACAGAGGAGCCTGGCTCGTTACAGTCCATGGGGATGCAAAGAGCTGGGCACGACTGAGAGACTAACACTTTCATTTTTCACTTATCCTGCATAAAGTAAGGAAAGACAAAATGGATTCTAAGGATAATTCCTACTGTTTCCCCAAGAATGTTCACAGATTTTTCTAAAAATATCTTAGCATATTTTTAGCATTCTCTTTTTGATGAAGTTGGAAAGGTTCAGGCCTTTTAGCTGAAGAGTAGGAGATGAGTTTTGGACATAAAGTTTAAGGATGAGTTCGAAAACCTGCGTAACAAGAAACGTCCTTATTAAAAATTTTTATGTGGTTTTTTTTTTGCACTAAAAAGTGCAACCAGCTGGAAACAGGACACCAAAAAGAAGCTTATGTATCTGAATCCCAAGGTCACGGTGAACAACTGAACATTGCAAGTGTGTGCCAGGCAAACCGACATCGCCAGATGAGAGCTAAAGGCTGAGAGTCACAGTCATAACTTAAGATATTTATTTAATGCCAAAATTCAGCTGCATTATGTTTGAGGCCCATTTAAACATTATTTATATATAACTAAAATATAAGTTAAAATTGATCAACACTGAATTTTACTCTTTCAACTCACCTGTAAGATTCGCTGCAGGATGGATGGAAGGGCAATGAATGCTGCCATGCTGTTGAGAACTTGCATGGTCAAAGATTTCAGAGCTGTTGTAACAACATGTTAATATTAAGGTTAGTTTAAAATCAGTTTTAGGTTTTTCCTGTAAGTCATAGGAATAAAGCTTCCTAGAAACTTCGCTAAACAAGGCCAGTTTGATATTTTAAAGTTAACCTGGTAAGCTGCAAAGCTACTGTTATTGAGACAAAGGATGTAACTGGTGCCTCAGAAAGAAGTGAACCTGAAAAATGAGATCAATACTACAATATGATTTTATTAAGGATAATAATAAAAATATGATACTTGGAGAAGGTATCTAAATGACTATTTCTAGCAGATAAAAAGTGGGTGATGGTATAGGTGGATGCTGATAAACTTACCTTCAGAGTGTGGATGAGGTGCAGCTGAACTAGACAGCTTCTGAGGGGCCATCATTGCCTCCAATAATGGAAACCAGAGTGCCTGTAATGTCACAGAAAGGCAAAGAAAAAGAAAAGTACTGTGTTGTTTTTAAGAATAACTAACATCAGCCTACTGTTTCACGGGCTGAAATGTACTTCTCATACACACTTGTTGGTAAAAATCAGAAAAAGAAAAGATGGAACACCCGACTAGGAAGAGACAATAAAAAGCAAAAACCATAACCAGAACAGAAACCTTTACCATGCACCTTGGGAAAATTAAGGAAGCTGAAGTTAAGTAAGTCTAGACCTTGGAACTGTAATCTTCTGTATCTCAGGAGAGGGAAGGTTCAAAGGAGCCAGAGCAGAGCCTCCAGCTACTCTTAAGTGTCTAAACAGCACTATGTAATGCAGAAGGGGACAGAGAACTACCCCACAACTTATTCTCCTCCCATTTCTTGTCAGCTTGACATCAAGCAAGATAAATGAATACAATTATCTCAAGTTTTCTCCTGTGTCAAGCATCCTTTTCTATTTCCTCAGTCATCACAGACCAAGAAGTGGAAGTGAACATTATTTCAATTAATATTCCCAACCACAGAATGAGGTTGGAAATTTATTTATGAGAAAATTAATTTATGAGATAAATTAATAGATCTATCATTTATTTATTCCTATTATATTAGGCACTGTATTAAGTGCTTACATACAATTTTCATTTCAATTGGCAATTCAATCTCACGATAACCTAATACAGTAAGCATTACCTTTACTGGAGATAAGATACTGAAGCTTAGAGAAGTTGAATAATTTGCCAAAAGATTATACACTGCCATATGTGCATCATATGTATTCTTCCTAAGCCTTACAGAAAACCTTCATCATCAAAAATCAAACTGATTTAAAATTTCAAGCATATTTTCTTGTTGGGTAGAGATTTACAAAGGCCTCATTTAACCCAGAATCTTGGAAGAGACCCACTCCTGCAAACATCCAACAGGCATGAAAAAAAGTCAGTACTGACAGAGCAGGACAAGCATGGTTACTCAGGGAGCCCACTAAGGGGACAGGCTCACAATCCAGCAACTCTGCAACTGGGCAGCCTCTCACTGAAAGAGCTCTACAAGGAAGCCCTTAACTGCCCCATTTGAGGTTTTTCTAAGGCCAGGATTTTATGCTTTATTTTTCTAAACAGTTTTTCTTCTAGTTTTTAAGATACTAGTTTTAACTATGTTGTATACTGACAATTCTTTATTTTATTGAAATTTTAATTTATTTTATCTAGTACTTATGAATTTTTAATCTTGTATTTTATTCTTAGATGGCTTTACTTAGATTGTCTTTCAGTTGGCTATTTCAACTTGTTTTAAACTATATAATTTCTTTCTATGTCTTTTAATCTAACTGTATATGGTATACCAAAATTTTACTTTTGTTTTTATAATATATTTAGAAATCTGATTTAAATTTTTCCTTATTTAATCCAGGAATTTTAGGTGAATTACCTTTATAAAGGTTACTTTATTCTTGATTTATAAATAGCAGACTGGGGAAGCATGGTTGTAGAGTTAAGAGCCATGGGAAGTATTTATACCCTAAATAGAGGAACTTTTCAATTAAATCTCCATATTAACCAGAAATATATGGCAAATACCTTTTAAATATTTCATCTCTCTTGCTCTTTAATGCTGGTTCTTAAAATTTTAACTTGGATAACTCTAAAAACTCACAGGCTAAAATAACCATTATGATCATGACAATCCTAACCCCTGAGGAGAACGGGACGACAGAGGATGAGATGGCTGGATGGCATCACCGACTCGATAGACATGAGTTTGAGTAAACTCCGGGAGCTGGTGATGGATAGGGAGGCCTGGCGTGCTGCGATTCATGGGGTCTCAAAGAGTCAGACACGGCTGAACGACTGAACTGAAATGAACCCCTGAGAGCAACGCAACTGAATGTGAACTACTTTGTCATGTTACATAACCAACCACTTTCCTTTTTAAGGAATTATGTGCATAACAAAGCTACATTCCTTATTATATATAATCACTGGGCACTGGGGCAGACAGACACACAAAGTAGGATCAGGACAGACTCCACCCGGAAAAGGACTGACAGCCCAACTTCCTGAACTCTGACTTCACCTGAAGAGACTTTCGGAAAGAGACATTACAGATAGTGCATTACCAAGCTTTTGGATACTCCAAATTTACTAGCTAGTTGAGGGTCTGTGGCCAAAGCTCTTGTTCTCTCTCATTCTCTCCAAAACAAAAACAAAAGGGAACAAAGGCAAACAACCATGAATATCCCCCAAACTTAATGTGTGATATTACATATAATCAGTTCAGCATTTTCACAAAAATAGTATTTAAATAAAAACTAACGTTCAAATATTTTTGTTGTTGTTATGAAAGTTGTTCAAAAAAGAAGCAAAAACCAGTTGTCAGAGGGTGGGGGCAAGTAGACAGTGGTGTTGAGAGGTGCATGTGTGTCTAAGAGAGGAAGACTCAGATACCAGCTCAGATACATTTTTCACCAAAAAAAAAAAAAAAAAAATACAGAATAAATCACCCTTTCACCACATCAAAGGAAGCCTTAGTTCTGTCTATGGACATAAGAGTTCATATATAATCAGAATAATCCCTAGAGTTGTGGAGGCATGAAATTTAACATCTAATTCTGCCATTAATATATGTGGACAATATATGTGGATCTGGACATATTTCAGATTCAGTTCAGTTCAGTCGCTCAGTCGTGTCTGACCCCAGTCGTGTCTGACTCTTTGCAGCATGCCAGGCCTCCCTGTCTATCAGCAACTCCAAGAGTTTACTCACAAACTCATGTCCATTGAGTCGGTGATGCCATCCGACCATCTCATCCTCTGTTGTCCCCTTCTCCTCCTATCTTCAATCTTTCCCAGTGTCAGGATCTTTCAAATGAATCAGTTCTTTTCATCAGGTGGCCAAAGTACTGGAGCTTCAGCTTCTGCATCAGTCCTTCCAATAAATATTCAGGGCTGATATCCTTTAGGATGGATTGGTTGGCTCTCCTTGAAGTCCAAAGGACTCTCAAGAATCTTCAACACCATAGTTCAAAAGCATCAATTCTTCAGCACTCAGCTTTCTTTATAGTCCAAGTCTTACATCTATACATGACTACTAGAAAAACCATAGCTGTGACTAGACAGACTTTTGTTGACAAAGTAATATTTCTGCTTTTTAATATGCTCTCTAGGTTGGTCATAGCTTTTCTTCCAAGGAGCAAGCATCTTTTAATCTCATGGCTGTAGTCACCATCTGCAGTGATTTTGGAACCCAAAAAAATAAAGTCTCTCACTTGTTTCCACTGTTTCCCCATCTATTTGCCATGAAGTGATAGGACCAGATGCCATGATCTTAGTTTTCTGAAGGTTGAGTTTTAAGCTAACTTTTTCACTCTCCTCTTCCACTTTCATCAAGAGGCTCTTTAGTTCTTCACTTTCTGCCATAAGGGTGGTATCACCTGCATATCTGTGGTTACTGATATTTCTCCCGGCAATCTTGATTTCAGCTTGTGCTTCATCCAGTCCAGCATTTCTCATGATGTACTCTGCATAGAAGCTAAATAAGCAGGGTGACAATACACGGCCTTGACGTACTCCTTTTCCTATTTGGAACCAGTCTGTTGTTCCATGTCCAGTTCTAACTGTTGCTTCCTGACCTGCTCAAATTCTACCGTTAATATATGTGAATCTGAACATATTTCAGCTTACATGAGCCTAATGGTTTTATTTATAAAACATAATTGTCATTTTTCCTTAAACTTTCCATGAGAAGAAGGAAGAACACCAAGTAGATATTAGGAAGGAGACAGAAAGTTTGAAAGATAAAAAGGCTTAGTATTAAATATATATAAACACAGCTTTAACAATTTTACTTTTGTGCTTTTCTATCAAAATATAACCATGTGCAATACAGACAGCCAAAAGATAAAATAAAAACTCATGAATGGAAAAATCATGGCAAAAAGGAATGGGTAGGATTTCCCTGGTAGCGTAGTGGGTAGGAATGAATCTACCTGCCACTGTGGGGGACAGAGTTTGATCCAGGAAGATCTCACATGCCACGGAGTAACTGGGCCCATACACCACAACTACTGAGCCTGCACTCCAGAGACTGTGAGCCGCAACTACTGAGCCCATGAGCTACAACTACTGAAGCCAGAGCACTCTAGGGTCTATGCTCCACAACAAGAGAAGCTACTGCAATGAGAAGCCCAAGAAAAACAACGAAGAGTAGCCCCAACTCGATGCAACTTGAGAAAGCCTGGAACATAGCAATGAAGACCCAGTGCAGCCATTAAAATACATAAATTTTTTTAAAAAGTACTTTAAAAGAAAAATAAAAGGAATAGTGTAAAGTTCATAATCCATTTAAATAAAGATTAAACACTATGGGAACTGTGGATATAGAAAAGAATGTTTTGTTAACCTCAATGAGGTAAAATAACATAACTAATAAAAATTCAGAGGGATAGAGAAGAGAGGCTGGAGCAAGGGTGTATGGGTTCACATAAACTTCCTTACTGGCTGCACATCATAGATACTATAAAAACTGAAATGTAATTATAAATGATAACTCCAATCTATTATAGTTATTCAGTTTTTAAACTTTAGAAAGATTTATTAAGAGACAGTAAAGAACTATTTATTTGAAATTCAGAAATTTCTCAGTTTTACACAGGTTTTCTAAATGAGATTAAATACTGTATTTTTAAAGAAAACATTTTTGATCCAATTTTTCTAAAATTATGTAAACCTAAGCAGATAAAAAAAAATCTACAGTGATATTCACGAAATGATAATGATGGTTATTTCTGAGTGATATGATAGATATAGGATACTTTTTAAAAAATGTCCTTCTGTATAACTTTTTGTCTTGCAGGATTACAAAAATATTGGGTATGTATCATTTCACTCAAAAAAGTTTTTTAATAAAAAAACCCACATCCATTATGTAAATGAGTTTGTCATACCCAATTTATATTCTAAAGGGTGTCAAAATTTATAACCTTAAAAAAGGGCTTGACAAAAAAGGAGAAATTTACCCATCTCATAAGAACAGAAAACACAAAAGTTTACTATTTTCACTGTAACACTTATGGCAAACTGTCTATGAAAAATTTACCCTCTTTCCCATTTCAGAAGCCCAGCAGTGGAAGGAGGCCAGGTGGTATTAAGTCAGAGGCCAGAGACTGGAAGGGCAGGCAGAGTTATGCCACATCATACTGCTAACTTTACTTCTTAAAATTGCTACAGTCTTAGCTATCAAGTCGCATCTCACCCCCTCTGTTTCTGCTTCACTGCTGTAACTCCCAGCCACACCAGGTGCTTAACTATACCTTCTCCTTCAGCTTTGCACACTCCCTTTTTGCAGTCTGGAATCTGTTACAGTTGTGGTTCCAACCTTGGCTGCAACAGTGGAATCAAGTGGCAAGCTTTGAGATGTTCACTAGGGAGGGGGGTACAGTTTTTGAGGCACTAGCCTACTATGTTCTCCTTGTGCCTGGCAAAGTAATAAAGCCAGTCTTCCCTTCTCCTCCTAACAGAAAAACAAACAAACAAACAAAGAGAACCACACTGATGATGGGGGTCCAGCCCCAGAGACTTAAATTTAATTGATCATGGGTACAGTCTGGGAGTTTTCAAAGCTCCCCAGGTGACTTATGCGCAGCCAAGGTTGAGAAGTGCTGTATGGTAGCCTTTTGACCTTTTCCAGCTTTCTCTGTGTCCCTTGAGGCTTTTCTTCCAGTTCTTCATACTCACTTAATCCACAGGGAATAAAAGAGATGATAAATGTATGACACATCCATAGTACCACTACACGGAATACACAAAATCTCTGTCCAAAGAGAACAAGGACATCTAGTATTCACAAACGTAAGTTTTGCAGCATGGCCAAATCTAAGAATATAAAGCTTTTTGTGAGAACAAAGCAGACAGGCCCTTCCCATAATAACTTCAGGAGTCATATACTCCTGGGAACACTGAATGGTGATTAAAATCCAGTTGCATAGAATTCAGGTAGCTGAGAGGGCAGTGGAAATAGAATTAATTTCTAGTTTCAGACCAGAACAGACTTTTAAAAGGCTTTGGAGTCATTCTCCTACCTCTCTCTGCTGTTGGTTCAAATTATGTGAATTTCTCTGGCAGAGAGCAATCGTCTCTACCATGGTCTCTTCAACATCCTTCAATGAGGGATCCTCTTTGGTATCTAGAGTCAGAAAAATTGTTAACATCACTAAAGGATATAATACTGATAATGTCAAAGCTTCTGTAAAACAATGAAACATTTTTTTCTCTGCATATTTTTAGGTGTCAATGATATAATCATGTATAAGACCTGATACTGAGGTTTAATAGATTAAAAAGCAGATAATTGTTTGCAACAGCTTTCTATATAAATGTTTGACACTCCTAGGACATAGAAAGCACATCATATTAATACTTAGCATTATAATGTACTTTAGCTATGGAAAAATCCCTAATTATTTGTTTGTGGATTTGTTAGTAGAAATATTTTTTTACAGTTCTCCATTTCTTTAATGTACATATTTCTTCAAGATACTATTTCAGGCACTTTTCTCTTCTTTTTCAATAACTTCAGCCACTCTTCTGGTTTTATCTCCTATGTCCTTGCTGATAACCTTCAAATATACACCGCCAGCCCTTATTCCTTTCATAATCTGCAGGCTGAATTCTCACCAGGCTCTAGGCATCCATTTCTACATGGACGTCCTGCAATCACTTTGAACTTCATATGTGCAAAACCTAGCCCAGTTCTCTCACTTCAAATATGCTCCAAACTGACAGAACCATGACCTTTAAGTCAGCCAGTTCATAAATCTTCATCATCTTCAATGCTTTCATCCATACATTCAAATAAATAGTTAATTTTGTTAATTCCATATCCATGCTCCCATATATCCATGGCTTTTACCTGATGGAGACCTTCATCACCTCGTTTGCACTATAACTTGGCTTTTGACTTAGAAATCTTGGCTTCCTCATTCCCTTTTATACTGCCACTACAGTTCTCTTAGGTTTCCCTGGTGTTTAAGTGGTAAAGAATTCGCCTGCCAATGCAGGAGACATGAGTCTGACTGGAGGTCAGGAAGAGCCCCGGGAGAAGGAAATGGCAACCTGCTCCAGTATTCTTGCCTGGGAAATCCCAGAGGAGACTGGCGGGTGACCGTCCATGAGGTTGCTAAAGAGTCAGACACGACTGAGTGGCTAAACAACAATAGTTCTCTTAAGGACAAGTCCAAACGTGAGTCTCATCCATGAACATTATCAAAGACTTCTAATTTTTACAAACAGAATGTCAATAAACCTCTGACCCTAAATAAACACAGTAAACATTCTAGGGCAGCTTTCCACCCTTGGTGCTTTCCACCAGATTATTTCCCAAGGTTACTAGTCAGGCACTTTCATATTCATGTTCTCCTCAACCCAGAAGCTCTTTTCCTTGCTTTTGTCTTTCAAATTCCTACTCATTATTCCAGTCATGATTACTTCCAAATTTGCATCTTCTACAAAAGAAACTCAGTTACAGATAGTTCCCCAATTGTCCACAATCCTTGGTCACTCTCACTGTATCTCTACTACAGTATTTGACTCTACCTGCATTGGAAGGTTTTTTTTTTTTTTTTTTAACATATCTATCTCCTTCAAGTGACTTAGCTCTTTGGATGAGGACTATGTTTTAGCCATCTGTGTGTACAGGAACTAGCTCACTGTTGTGCAGTTACCAAATCCTCAAAATTCTTAAGCACACTGTCAAAACTGGAAGGCAGCTCTGCTTACTGCTATACCACCAATGCACACTGTCAAAATTGAATCTGACAGTAGATGGTAGTTATGAGACTATTACTGAGAAATTTATCCTCGTTGGAATTCAAAGAACTGGCTTCCCTAGACATATCACCTGTAAATCACTGTAGTGATTTGAGGAAACATTCTTCTTAGTTTTACCATAATCTTTCATGTAGTGTCTGCAAAAATTATTTTCATAACAGAAAATTGAAGAAGAAAAATACCATAAATGCAACAAATCTAGCAGTCAAATTGAACACTTACTGACAGCACAAAAACCAAAACTAAATGCTTAGTTGAACTACATAAAGAAAAGTCAACTGTTTATGGAAATTATAAGAACAAATACTCTATGGGGAATTAGGGTAAAGGTGTTTAGAGGGCTGTGTGGGCCAAGGAATTCAAGAAATGTGTTAGTGAGTTAAAAAGGTAAAACAATCTAAAAATCACCTATCCAGTGATTCTCTGAACTTTGGAAGGGCTGTTTTGAAAACATTAAGGAATAGGAACATGAATAATCCAATTCAAAAGTGGGCAGGCAAAAGATCTGGACAGACATTTCGCCAGAGAAAATATAGAAAATGGCCAATTAAGTACAAGAAAAAAATGCTCAACATCACCAATCATTACACAAATGCAAATCACACCCAATAGGGTGGCTACTAACAAGAAAACAGAAAATAACAAGTGTTTAGTTAATATGTGGAGAATTTGAAACTTCTGTGCATTGCTGATGACAGTGTAAAATGATATTGCCATTATAGAAAATGGCATGGTGGTTCCTCAAAAAATTAAAAACAGAACCACCATTTAGCTTCAGTTCAGTTCAGTAGCTCAGTCGTCTCCGACTCTTTGCAACCCCATGAATTGCAGCATGCCAGGCCTCCCTGTCCATCACCAACTCCCAGAGTTTACTCAAACTCAAGCCCATCGAGTCGGTGATGCCATCCAGCCATCTCATCCTCTGATGTCCCCTTCTCCTCCTGCCCCCAATCCCTCCCAGCATCGGGGTCTTTTTCAATGAGTCAACTTTTCACATGAGGTGGCCAAAGCCCTGGAGTTTCACCATTTAGCTTAGCAATCCATATGTCCAGCAATATATATCCAGAAGAAGTGAAAACAAGGACTCAAAGAGATATATCTGTATACGCATGTTCACAGCAGCACTGTTCACAACAGTCAAAAGGTAGAGGCAATCCAAGTGCCCGTTGACAAATGAATGGGAAAACAAAACGTAGCATATACATAAAACAAGAGTATTATTCAGCCTTAGAAATGAGTGAAATTCTGCATGTGCTACAACATAGATAAATCTTGAAGACATTATGCTAAGTGTAATAAGCTAGACACAAAAGGACAATTACTACTTGATCTACTTATATGAGATACCTATCCCAGAGTAATCAAATTCATCAGTCAGAAAGCAGAATGGTGGTTACCAGGGGCTGAGTGGGGAGGAGGGAATAAGGAGTAACTGATGGGCACGGAATTTCAGTTTGGCAAGGTGAAAAGGTTCTAGAGATGGATGCTGGTGATGATTGTACAGCAATGTGAATGTACTTATTGCCAATAAACTGTACACTTAAAAATGGTTAAAACAGTGAATTTAATGAGGCACTTATTTTACCACACTTTTACAAAACAAATAATTTTTTAGTATCAAGGAATATAATAAAAATTACATATCTATCTCTGACAAAGTCATTCAAGATTCTAAACTTTAAGTTTTACAGCTTTCTGCTAAAATCATGTTAAGTTCAAAACAGAAATACTGGCTATTACTTACTGATTAGAAGCATTGCTTTGTTGTTTTTCAGCACATTACAGTAATTTTTAAAATGTTAGTTATGTATCTCATTTATAATAATCAAAACATGAGAACAAAAGTATAGCCAAAAGTTAATTAATACCAGTGAAGAATATCTAATTTTCTGTATAATGAAAATGACTTTTGGTACTGACAATTAGCATCACAAAACCACAATGGTTTATATTTACTTTCTATTATGAGCCTTAAAAACAAGTCAAAATTTGGATCAATGATAAACAGTAATATACAGATCAATGTAATTATTAACTAATAAATGTAGTTTTTCATTTAATACATTTTAAAACATGGGGTCCATAGAAAAAAAATTGCAAACTACACTCAAGAACTTACTTTCATCTTGATGTGTTATCTCTTGAAGTTTGCTTTGTAGTCTCTAGGAGGTAAAAGGAAAACTTTACATTTCTAATCCACCAACACCTGAATTAACATGTTTTAAAGGTAAAAACCCAAGAAACAACAAGGTTTTTAAGAACGATCTCTGTCGTTCAGAGGAGAACATCTGTGTATAGAGAAAGCATAGCTAGTAGTACTGGAAGTGACCCAAAATATCAAATATCACTTATTCTGACCCACTTTTGCTTCTGTTGTACCATCACATAGTCATCACTGACATTCTTTAGGCATAGTAATGGGGATTAATCCATGCTTTGGATAAGGGAATAAAATTCACACTCAATTATGAGAAAAAAGGATGGGTGCAAATAAAAAAGGACATGACAAGTCTATCACCACAGCATAGGGCACAGCCTTGGGTGTGACATCTTCTATATATGCAGTTGTAGCATCCACTACTCCACTGAATTCTAGATCCTCAGACACCCTTAACTGATATTCCAAAGGCTTTTTAATATAGACTGAAGTCAACCTTAATACATCCCTTCTACCCCAAATTTGCTCCTTTCCTTGAGGTCCTTTATAGGCTAATGTTAAGCTAAAAATCAGAATCATCATTAACTGCTCCCTCTCATTCACTCCATACCATATTCAAATGATCAATAAGTTCTTAAATCCACCTTCTTTTTTCACTTCACCAGCACCATCACACCCACTCAAGCCCTCCTGATTCACTGCCGCAATAGCCTCCCAAGTGCTCTCTGCTTCCAGTTTTACATCCTCCTCCTCTGCATCCCACAGATCCTCCTACAGTCAACAGAACAGTCTTTATGAAACAACATCACATCAGTTCCTTGTTTAAAAACCTTTCGTTGATCCTGGGTGAAAACACAATCAGCCCTAATTCTTTAGTATGTCCTATAAAATCTTTCCAAATCTGGATCGAATCTTTGTTTCCAGCCCGACCTGCCTATTTATACACTGATAGCTGAGCCCTAGTAAAGCTACTGGCTCATCTCCTAGCAGTTTGTATTCCTCTGCATTTTGCAAACGATCATCTTTTTCCCTGCAAAGATCTCCCACTTCTCCACTTCCCATCCATGCCAAGAATATTTACTTATCCTTTAAAATTGGGTTCATGGTATCATCAACAAATAAATTGCAAGGAAAAAAAGAGATGAAAGAGTAACCTAGAGATTAAAAGGGATTAAGAGCCTACACAAATTCTCTGTGGAATATTGTTCCTGGCCTGTTTCACAAGTACATGGCTAGAAAAAAACTAGAAGCTAATGTGAACTATTTTTTAAAATATAAATAGGGCATCCCTAATCTATTCCTAGCTAGATGACAATGTTTAAAAAATGGATATATAATCACACACATTAGGATGACTATTACCAAGAAAATAAAAAATGACAAGTGTTGGTGAAGAGAAATTGAAACTTTGGTGCACTGCTGGTGAGAATGTAAAATGGTATAGTTGCTATAGAGAAACAGTATGGCAGTTCTTTAAAAATTAAAGATAGAATTGCCATTTGATTCAGCAATCCCACTTCTGGTATATATTCAGCAATCCCACTGAAAGCAAGGACTCAAGAAGATATTAGTACACCCAAGTTTACAGCAGCAATATTCACAACAATCAAAATGTGGAAGCAACACAAGTGTCTATTGTTGAATGAATGGAAAAACAAAATGCAGTATATATAAAATGGAATATTATTCAGCCTTTAAAGATGAATGAAATTCTGACATGTGCTACAATATGAATAAATCTTGAACACATTATGCAAACTGTAATAAGCTAGACACAAAAGGACAAATACTATTTTATTCCTTTTATGTGAGGTACCTAGTGATCAAATTCCCAGAATCTAAAGTAGAATGGTAGTTGCCAGGGGCTAGCAGGCAGGGAAGAGGAACTGGTCTAATGAATTTGGGAAGTTGAAAAAGAGATGGATGGTGGCGAGGTTACATAGCAATGTGCATATAATTAATGCCACTGAAACGGTAAATTTTATTTTATAACAATTAAAATAATTCTTTTAAAAAACTGATATAACAACAACTGCTGTTGGAATGTAGAGCAATCAGAACTCTCATACATTATTGGTGGAACATAAAATGCTACAGCCATTTTGGAAAGAGATCTGCTAATTTCTTATAAAACTAAACCTCCACCTATCTTGTGAGGCACCAATTCCATTCCCCAGTACTGACTCCAGGGAAAGGAAAACATTTTTGTACAGGAGCAGTCATAGCAACTTTAATCATAATAGCAAAACACTAGAGATAGCTCAGGTGTCAATCAACAGGAGAATGGATAAACTGTGATGCAGTCATACAATTAAATACTACTCAACAGTAAAAGGAACGGATACATGCAATAACAGAGAGAAATCTTAAAAACATTATGCCAAATGGAAGAAGAATTATACAAGAGTATCTATGGGATGATTCCATTAGTATGAATGAACAAAAAGGGCAAAACTAATCCACAGAGAAAAAAATTCAAGTTGTTCTGAGGGGACAGAAGTGGGAACTGACTGTGAAGGGACTTTCTGGGCTGAGGGTAACGTTCTTTTATCTTGTTAGGCACTGGAGTTAAACAAGTGCATGCACTGGTTAGGCCTCATTGAATGACACATTTAAAACTGGAGGATTTGCTGGATGTAAATTTTACCTTAAAAAAAATACAAAGAAAGATTAACTCAAGTTAAAGACATGCATGATAAAAATATCCAGGGATAAAAATGTACTGCTGTCTGCAACTTACTCTGAAACATAAGAAATTGATTGATGAAAACTTACACAGTGTTATATGTCAGTTTTATCTCAAGAAAAAAAAATAAATTGATAAATGGATAGAAGGCTAGACAGAAATATGACAAAGCAAACAGAGTAAAATGTTACCTTTAGCATTATTAAGAAGGCACCATGAATATCTCCTTTCTTTTCTAATAGATAAGCAGTGACTTCACAAAGTTGATACTTCTGGGTAATCTAGCAAAGAAAAAAAGATAAAGTTATTGTTGAAAAATCTTGTTTGTGGAGTCAAAAGATCCTATTAAGGATGAAAAAGTTCCATGATAATAAACAATGAATTCATAGGCTAAACAGTTTATTACTGATACTCTACAGCATAACATGCAAATATTTGTTTTTCTAGTCTTAGAGTGGCCCATTTGGGACTACAAGTGAACCAAAGTCACTCATTCTCTTTTCACTTATTTAAAAAGTTGTTATGTAGACTTGACCATTTTTCTTAAGGTGGGAGCGGAGCGCTGGGGTTAACTGTTGCTCGAGAAAGGAGGCTGCAGTTACTGAGAGAACAGAGTGAAGACACCTGAAAGGAAGTTGACATCACTCAGAGTATCTTCTGGAAGTCTGCTGGTCTGAGGTCCTAAGATGGTGGAGGAATAGGACAGGGAGACCACTTTCTCCCCCACAAATTCATCAAAAGAACATTTGAACGCTGAGTAAATTCCACAAAAAACTCCTGAATGCTGGCAGAGGACATGCGGTACCCAGAAAAGCAGCCCATCGTCTTCGAAAGGAGATGGAGAAGTCTTGAGGCTACTGTAAGAATAAGACTGAAAACCAGAGCCATGAGGCTTAAGTCCAAATCCTGAGAACACCAGAGAACTCCTGACTTCAGGGAACATTAATCGAGAGGAGCTCATCAAATGCCTCCATACCTACAGTAAAACCAAGCACCACCCAAAGGCCAACAAGTTCCAGAGCAAGACATACCACACAAATTCTCCAGCAACACAGGAACATATAGCCCTGAGCTTCAATATACAGGCTGCCCAAAGTCACACCAAACCCACTGACATCTCAAAACTCATTACTGGACACTTCATTGAACTTCAGAGAGAAGAACTGCAGCTCCACCCACCAGAACACCGACACAAGCTTCCCTAACCAAGAAACCTTGACAAGCCACCCGTCCAACCCAACCCACAACGAGGAAACTCCACAATAAAGAGGAACCACAAACTGCCAGGATACGGAAAGGAAACCCAAACACAGCAATCTAAACAAGATGAAAAGGCAGAGAACTACTCAGCAGGTAAAGGAACAGGATGAATGCCCACCAAACCAAACCAAAGAGGAAGAGAGAGAGAGGGAATCTACCTGATAAAGAATTCCAAATAATGATAGCGAAAATGATCCGAAATCTTGACAACAAAATGGAGTTACAGATAAACAGCCTGGAGACAAGGATTGAGAAGATGCAAGAAGGTTTAACAAGGATCTAGAAGAAATAAAAAAGAGTCAATATATAATGAATAATGCAATAAGTGAGATCAAAAACACTCTGGAGGGAACCAACAGTAGAATAACAGAGGCAGAAGATAGAATAAGTGAGGTAGAAGATAGAATGGTAGAAATAAATGAAACAGAAAAAAAGAAAACACATTAAAAGAAATGAGGACAATCTCAGAGACCTCTGGGACAATGTTAAATGCCCCAACATTCGAATCATAGGAGCCCCAGAAGAAGAAGACAAAAAGAAAGACCATGAGAAAATACTTGAGGAGATAATAATTGAAAACTTCCCTAAAATGGGGAAGGAAATAATCACCCAAGTCCAAGAAACCCAGAGAGTCCCAAATAGGATAAACCCAAGGTAAAACACCCCAAGACACATATTAATCAAATTAACAAAGATCAAATGCAAAGAACAAATATTAAAAGCAGCAAGGGAAAAACAACAAATAACACACAAGGGGATTCCCATAAGGATAACAGCTGATCTTTCAACAGAAACTCTTCAGGCCCAGAGGGAATGGCAGGACATACTTAAAGTGATGAAAGAAAATAACCTACAGCCCAGATTACTGTACCCAGTAAGGATCTCATTCAGATATGAAGGAGAATTCAAAAGCTTTACAGACAAGCAAAAGCTGAGAGAATTCAGAACCACCAAACCACCTCTCCAACAAATGCTAAAGGATCTTCTCTAGACATGAAACACAGAAAGGATGTATAAACTCGAACCCAAAACAATAAAGTAAATGGCAATGGGATCGTACTTATCAGTAATTACCTTACATGTAAATGGGTTGAATGCCCCAACCAAAAGACAAAGACTGGCTGAATGGATACAAAAACAAGACCCTTATATATGTTGTCTACAAGAGACCCACTTCGAAACAAAGGACACATCCAGACTGAAAAGTGAAGCGCTGGAAAAAGATATTCCATGCAGATAGAGACCAAAAGAAAGCAGGAGTAGCAATACTCATAATACCAGATAAAATAGATTTTAAAACAAAGGCTGTGAAAAGAGACAAACAAGGACACTACATAATGATCAAAGGATCAATCCAAGAAGAAATAACAATTATAAATATATATGCACCCAACATAGAACCACAATATGCAAGACAAATGCTAACAAGTATGAAAGGGGAAATTAACAATAACACAATAATAGTGGGAGACTTTAAGACCCCACTCATACCTGTGGATAGATCAACTAAACTGAAAATTAACAAGGAAACACAAACTTTAAATGATACAATAGACCAGTTAGACCTAATTGATATCTATAAGACATTTCACCCCCAAACAATGAGTTTCATCTTTTTCTCAAGTGCACATGGAACCTTCTCCAGGATAGATCATATCCCGGGCCATAAATCTAGCCTTGGTAAATTCAAAAAAACTGAAATCATTCCAAGCATCTTTTCTGACCACAATGCAGTAAGATTAGATCTCAATTACAGGAGAAAAACTATTAAAAATTCCAACATAGGGAGGCTGAACAATACGCTGCTGAATAACCAACAAATCACAGGAGAAATAGAAAAATAAATCAAAATATGCATAGAAAAAAATAAAAATGAAAACACAACAACCCAAAACCTGTGGGACAGTGTAAAAGGAGTGCTAAGGGGAAGGTTCATAGCAATACAGGTTTATCTCAAGAAACAAGAAAAAAGTCAAATAAACAAACTAACTCTAAATACCAGACCACCTGACCTGCCTCTAGAGAAACCTGTATGCAGGTCAGGAAGCAACAGTTAGAACCGGACATGGAACAACACACTGGTTCCAAATAGGAAAAGGAGTACGTCAAGGCTCTATATTGTCACCCTGCTTATTTAACTTATATGCAGAGTACATCATGAGAAACACTGGGCTGGATGAAGCACAAGCTGGAATCAAGACTGCCAGGAGACATAGCAATAACCTCAGATATGCAGATGACACTACCCTTTACAGCAGAAAGTGAAGAGGAACTAAAAAGCCTCTTGATGAAAGTGAAAGAGGAGAGTGAAAAAGTTGGCTTAAAGTTCAACATTCAGAAAACTAAGATCATGGCATCTGGTCCCATCACTTCATGGCAAATAGATGGGGAGACAGTGGAAAGAGTGGCTGATTTTATTTTTGGGGGCTCCAAAAATCACTGCAGATGGTGATTGCAGCCATGAAATTAAAAGATGCTTACTCCTTAGAAGGAAAGTTATGACCAACCTAGATAGCATATTAAAGAGTAGAGACATTACTTTGCCAACAAAGGTCCATCTAGTCAAGGCTATGGCTTTTCCAGTGGTCATGTATGGATGTGAGAGTTGGACTGTGAAGAAAGCTGAGTGCCGAAGAATTGATGCTTTTGAACTGTGGTGTTGGAGAAGACTCTTGAGAGTCCCTTGGACTGCAAGGAGATCCAACCAGTCCATCCTAAAGGAGATCAGTTCTGGGTGTTCATTGGAAGGACTGATGCTGAAGCTGAAACTCTAATACTTTGGCCACCTCATGCGAAGAGGTAAATCACTGGAAGAGGCCCTGATGCTGGGAGGGATCGGGGGCAGGAGGAGAAGGGGACGACAGAGGATGAGATGGCTGGATGGCACGACCGACTCGATGGACATGAGTCTGAGTAAACTCCAGGAGTTGGTGACGGATAGGGAGGCCTGGTGTGCTGCGATTCATGGGGTCGCAAAGAGTTGGACAGAACTGAGCAACTGAACTGAACACTTAAATAAACTAGAAAAGGAAGAAATGAAGAACCCCAGGGTCAGTAGAAGGAAAGAAATCTTAAAAATTAGGGCAGAAATACCTCAGATTGGGAGAAAACAATAGCAAACAAAGCAACAAAGGATTAATCTCAAAAATATACAAGCAACTCCTCCAGCTCAACTCCAGAAAAATAAATGACCCAATCAAAAAATGGGCCAAAGAACTGAACAGACATTTCTCCAAGGAAGACATACAGATGGCTAACAAACACATGAAAAGATGCTCAACATCACTCATTATCAGAGAAATGCAAATCAAAACCACAATGAGGTACCATTACACACCAGTCAGGATGGCTGCTATCCAAAAGTCTACAAGCAATAAATGCTGGAGAGGGTGTGGAGAAAAGGGAACCCTCTTACACTGTTGGTGGGAATGCAAACTAGTACAGCCGTTATGGAGAACAGTGTGGAGATTCCTTAAAAAACTAGAAATAGAACTGCCATATGACCCAGCAATCCCACTCCTGGGCATACACACTGAGGAAACCAGATCTGAAAGAGACACATGCACCCCAATGTTCATCGCAACACTGTTTATAATAGCCAGGACATGGAAGCAACCTAGATGCTCATCAGCAGATGAATGGATAAGGAAACTGTGGTACATATACACCATGGAATATTACTCAGCCATTAAAAAGAATGCATTTGAATCAGTTCTAATGAGATGGATGAAACTGGAGCCCATTATACAGAGTGAAGTAAACCAGAAAGATAAAGACCAATACAGTATACTAACACATATATGTGGAATTTAGAAAGATGGTAACGATAACCCTATATGCAAAACAGAAAAAGAGACACAGATGTACAGAACAGACTTGTGGACTCTGTGGGAGAAGGCGAGGGTGGGATGCTTCGAGAGAACAGCATCGAAACATGTATATTATCTAGGGTGAAACAGATCGCCAGTCCAGGTTGGATGCATGAGACAAGTGCTTGGGCCTGGTGCACTGGGAAGACCCA